TCATCTACGCCGCCGGCCACCTCGCCCGCCTCCTCGACTACCAGCCCGACCTACCGGAGAAGAACGTGTCCCGCGCCGCCAAAAACCTTGTCCTGCACATGGACCGAGCCAAGGACCGCTTCGGGTACACGCTGCGGGTCATCCACGAGTGCCGCACGCACCCGGTCGTGGTCAAGACCATAGCGAAGGAGGTGGAGATCGCGCGCTACTGGGAAGTGCGGAACAGCGCCGTGCTGCCTGACGCCGTGGCCGCGCTGCTGCAGCACACCGTGCCCAGCAAGATCCAGGTGACCGTCGAGAAGAACATGGTGGCGCCAGACATCACGGGCGTCGTCGAGTTAGTGGCCACGACGAACTACCCGATATTCTTTGCCGAAATGAACCACCTGGAGTGGGAATACCCCGACACGACGGATGAGCTGGTGCACGCGCTGCAGGCTGGCAGCGCTCCTCTCGAGGACTTCCTCGGCTGCTTGAATGTGGCCACCATCGAGAGCCTGGCCCTGAACGACGTGACGCGGCACCTCGTCTGCCTGAGGGTGAGAGTGTGCGATATTAGCGCACTAACGGCCCTGTTGCAGACGCCCGCGTGTCTGCCGAGCCTCATGTGGCTGGAAGCGGACTTCGACCTCTGTTTATATGACATCACCAAGGATCACCTGACGCAGGTTCCGACGCTCCTCATGGACGTGTGTTTTAAAGACGTGGCGGACGAGGACGTGGATTACATGTGCGACCTTCTGTCCGTCATGCGCCCGAGGTACTCCGGCGTGCACCTGACCAGAAGCTCCCTCACGGCGCAGGGGGCCGCCAACATCATCAAGAACTTCTACAAGCGCGGCATGCTCACGTCCGCCAGCATCGAGGCCATCAAGCGCTACCGCCGCTGGAGGTTCCCCGCCCTCAGCAGCATCGAGGGCGAAGTGACTGACGCCGCCGCCCGCCACCTCCTCGGCTACGACGACCGCTACCACTACAGCGATAACGAAGTGATGTCCTGCGCCGTCCTGCAGCCCACGGACGCCCAATTCCTCGCCAATTTCTTAGCCGCGATGGAGGACGTGGTGTTCTTCCGGTTCGTGAGCGCCAACTACACCGTCCTGAAGAAGAGCGACGCGCCGGTCGAAATCACGAGACTCGCGTAGTAATTCAATCCGCATTTTACCGTGATTTACTTAGTTTGGCGAGTCTGTGTTTCCTAATATGAAAGATGGAAAAAGAAAAGAGAGAAGAATTATATATATCGTTATTGTTGTCATACAAGGCTAATAAAGAAATCTATTTTATATTGTCTTTTGGATTTATTGCCCTGAGTTATATTAGACATAAAAAAACATCCCTTATAATTCAGGAATTTCATGTTAGAAACAATTATATGTAACAATGTATATACATAGGCTGCATTAGAGTGTTCATGCCCCATATACATTCATAAGTAAATACTTACAAACACACACACACATACACACACACACACACACACACACACACACACACACACACACACATATATATATATATATATATATATATATATATATATATATATATATATATATATATGTATATATGTATACATACATACATATATATATATATATATATATATATATATATATATATATATATATATATATATGTATATATATATATATACATATATATATATATATATATATATATATATATATATATATATATATATATATATATATGTATGTATGTATATATATATAATATATATACACAGCTGGAGCGCGACCACAAGGTCAAGATCTGGATGGCGTGAACAGCACTATTGGAAGTTGCCAATATATGCACGCGTACATTCCCTCAAGCCCCCAAAGCCGCTACACGCTGTGGTCGCTGCGGTCAAGGACATACAAATCGAGGAGGCGAGAATGCGACATCAAGGAATTGAGTTTCCCATCCATACATCAATTCCTTAAGACCAACAAGGGCTTGGAGATTGCCGCTGACTTGGAACGTAGTACCAAACCAGGTCACCAAGACGATCAGGTCACCAAAGCGATCATTGTCTCGGAAGAGGAAGTTGCAGAGAGGGTATGCCACCTGCCGCCAGAGGACAGTGAAAGGCCAGGGTCCAGTTCCTCCAGGTCATGAAGTCCAACAATCAGGTGACCCTCCAAGGCTTCACATGGAAAGCTACCATAGTCATTGTTGCGAACGTCACCCTCTGGTATGGAACTTTAAGATGGTATGTATGTGTGTGTATGAACATGTGTGTTGATTTGTTCTTCCAATATACATGTTCGTGTGATATCCAGAACACCTGAGAAATATGTGCTCTTTTCGGGGATATTAAAACAACATTTTCTCGTGTCGTTTATTGTGCAGACGCGGTGCTTTAGGCAAAAATACTCATCCACGTGCAATACACTATCATATAAACGTGATTCTAAATTCTAACTCATTGTACCAAACGATAACAAATTCACATGGAAAATCTTTATTGAACTAAAAAAAAAGTGAAGGCAATATGATATGGAAATATCACTCTCTTTATAGTTTAAACATATTTTTTTCTTTATTTCTATGGGTGAACAACAGTGTCGCTGACGAGTTGAATAAAAGAAAAAAATATCAATCACCAGTTACACATTTTTAAGGGGGGTTGGGTATTCATTTTATATTTGGTCTCCCTAACATCGTATAACAACAAAGATGCATAGACAGAGGCACATCGCATAATCAAAGTCATGGACGTGTAAATAAAACCCCTAATTACAGTTACCAACCTGAAATTTCAATTCATAAAGTTCTCATTTAACAGATTAAGATCTGCAGGGCATTTGCCATCCAGAAGTTATCTCTGTGCCAATAATGGTGAAACATAGATGAAGATAAAGGCACTGAATCTTGGTAAATCGACTGCATAAAGTTCCTAAAATACTGGTCACTAAGCAAAGAAAATATTATGACTAGGACTAAGCAAAACACCATTTTGTATTCTCGTTAGCATATTTTATCACATTGAGCAGTGCGCATGAGCATGGGAGAGTAGAAATTGTATCACATATCTCATAGCAATAATAATCTCAATTATACAGTCAACAAAATGTCTCGTGCTATGCGGAGTAGGTTTAATATGTTTTTTTTCCTTAAAGTTCGGATAAACGGAATTCCTCCATCTCTGTCTCACTTATAAAATTGTCTTTCGAATCATGGCTGTGATGAAAACATGCCTAATAAAAGTTTAGTGATCGCTTAAAATAATAAACAAGTTATTATCATGTCATTCTCATATAACAATTACCATTGATAAATACTGATCATTACTACTAAACCATGATTTTTTCTTTCGTCAACCGGGGATGAATCCTAACCATTGCCAAATTTATTTACGAGGACATTTCAAATCACCGAACCCTAACCAGATTTTACTTTTTTCCTCTCCAAAAGAAAACGGATTATAAACACAGAGAAAATGGGAGGACTGAATTCTTTAATAAGCATGAGACAGATTGTGTGCACGTGCTATGACTTTACTGGAGTATAAGAAATCGAGTATTTGGAAGCGTTTAAACTGATATGAGAAACAGCATTTGATCTTGTGCGTTGTTATTGTTTATTTTTTTCTTGCTTCGAGCTGACCCTAAGGCTTATGTATACATCTTATAAATAAACAAAAAAAAAAACTACATTTTTTTCTTCTTTTTTTCTTTCATTTTTTTGTATGTGCCTATTTCACACTCTTCTCACCCACTGACCCGATGTAATTCACACAATTCCAGTCTTACATCAACATTGCATTACAAGAAGACTGTTGTTTCAATACTGACTCCTCCATTCTTTGCGTTTGCGAACAAGAACCGACAATTACAAAGAACATTACAAGGAAATAACAGCGGGGAAAATGTTATCGCAAACGCTTCATTCGTCCCACGGAAATGCTGAGAAATTTTGATATTAATACGATGAATCAACGCAAATTCCATTACAGGGAAATGGAGGAGAGATAGGTAGACAGAGAGAGAGAGAGAGAGAGAGAGAGAGAGAGAGAGAGAGAGAGAGAGAGAGAGAGAGAGAGAGAGAGAGAGAGAGAGAGAGAGAGAGAGACAGAGAGAGACAGAGAAACTGACAAACAGTCGAGTCAAAGACAGGAGATAGGAACTCGCAAGACAAACAGACCGACAGACAAAGAGACACAGCCAAAAGGAAAAACTAAAAAACAAAAACACAATGAAGTTTAAGGAAGCGACTTAGGAGATCTACATAATTCCTCATGTGGTTTATTGGTTCCCGATGACCTCTGCCTTCAGTCGCTCCGCCAGGGCCTTCCGCACCTGCAGCGTGTGGGCGTCGATGTCTGAGCCAGCCAGCACCTGCAGGGGGGAGGGGGGGAGATGGAGAGGGGGTGTTATTGTGTGCAAAGAAGAAACCGGAGATATAATGTTGGGAATTATTCATTTTAATTTTCGTAATTTTCGTCTCTTTGTACCGGATATTGAGTCGAATGTATACATATGTGGGTTTATCATCATTATCATCCTTAACCGACCCATCCCTTCCCCTCTTCCTCTTCCTCCTCTTTCTACTCCTTCTCTTCTTCCTCTTTCTACTCCTCCTCTTCCTCCTCATGCTCCTCCTCCTCCTCCTTCTTAACCCCCCCATCCCTTTCATTTCTCCTTCTACTCCCTCTCCCACACCTCTTTCTTCGTTTTCCCTTCTTTCTCCTCCTCACCCCTCTGTTCTTGCTCCTTCTCCCTCTCCTCCCCTTCCCCCGCCTCCTCCACACCCCCCTCTTCTTTCCTCTTCTTCCCCCTCAAGATCTTCCTTCCTCTTGATTCTAATCCTTCCTTCACCCCTTCCTTCTTCTTCTTCATTTCCCCCTTTTCCGCCACCTCTTCTTCTTTCATTTCCTCCCCCATCTCCTTTTCCTCCTTCTCCCCCTTCTACCTTTCTGCTCTTCCTTCCTCCTCCCTTCCCTTCCTCCTTCCTCCTACTTTTCTACCATCTCCTTCCCCTCTCCCCCCTCCCTCTTCCTTCCTCCCTACTATCCCCCTTCACCCCCTCCCCTATTCCTACCACCTCCCTACCTCATCCCCCTCCCTCCCTTCCCTAGTATCAACCCTTCCTTCCCCCATTCTTCCTTCTCCCCCTCCTCTCCCCTTCCTGCCATCTCCTCCCTTGCCAAACCACCTCCTCCCTCCTTCATCCTCTCCTCCTTCCCCCACCATCCCCTCCCTCCTCTTCTCCTATCCTCCTTCCCCCACCATTCCTTCCTTCCCCCTCCCCCTACCCTTCCTACATCCCTCCTCCTTCCTCCCCTTTCCCAACCCTCCTCCTCCTCACTTCCTCACCTCCTACCCCTCCTCCCTCCTCCCTCCTCCCACCCCCTCCCTTCCTCTCTCCCTTTCCCTCCCCACCTCCCCAAACCCACCTCCTCCCCCTCCTCCCTCCCTTTCCCAACCTACCTTTCTCCTCCAACCCCCTCCTCCCATCCCACCTCCCCATCCTCCTCCCCTCCTCTCTCCCTTCCCCTCCCCACCTCCCCAAACCCATCTCCTCCCCATCCTCCTTCCCTCCCTTCTCCCTCTTCCCCAACCCACCTCCCCTCCTCTCCCTCTTCCCCTCCCCACCTCCCCATCCTCCTCCTCACCTCCTCACCCTCTTCCCTCTCCCACCCTTACCCCACCTCCCCATTCTCCCTCCCCCTACCCACCTCCCCTCCTCCCTTCCCCACCTCCCTCTTCCCCAACCCACCTCCTCCCTCCCCACCCTCCCTCCCCTCCCCTCCCTCTTCCCCAACCCACCTTCCTAGCTGCCCTGGAGGACTTGGGTCTCTTCTGGGGCGCCGACTCCTCGAAGGCGGCGAGCTGCTTCTCCCTCTCCCTATTCCGCTCCTGCTCCAACTTCGCTTTCTCGAACTTCGATTCCACGATCGCCTTCTCCAGGTCTCGCGTTTCCTCGTCCAGACTCGCCTGCGCCGCCTCGTGTTCTTCGAGGGACTTCCTGCGGGGGGGTCAAGGTGTCAAGATTAGGCTGTTGGATTGTGTGAGGGTAAGGTTGTTGTCAAGGTAAGGTTGTTGTCAAGATAAGGTTGTTCTCAGGTCATGTCAAGGTAAGGTTGTTGTCAGATCGTGTCAAGGTAAGGTTGTCGTCAGATCATGTCAAGATAAGGTTGTTCTCAGGTCATGTCAAGGTAAGGCTGTCAGATCATGTCAAGGTAAGGTTGTCGTCAGATCATGTCAAGATAAGGTTGTCGTCAGATCATGTCAAGATAAGGTTGTCAGATCATGTCAAGATAAGGTTGTCAGATCATGTCAAGATAAGGTTGTCAGATCATGTCAAGATAAGGCTGTCAGATCATGTCAAGATAAGGCTGTCAGATCATGTCAAGATAAGGTTGTTCTCAGGTCATGTCAAGCTAAGGCTGTCAGATCATGTCAAGATAAGGTTGTCGTCAGATCATGTCAAGATAAGGTTGTCAGATCATGTCAAGATAAGGCTGTCAGATCATGTCAAGATAAGGCTGTCAGATCATGTCAAGATAAGGCTGTCAGATCATGTCAAGATAAGGCTGTCAGATCATGTCAAGATAAGGTTGTCGTCAGATCATGTCAAGATAAGGCTGTCAGATCATGTCAAGATAAGGTTGTCGTCAGATCGTGTCAAGGTAAGGTTGTTGTCAAGATAAGGTTGTTCTCAGGTCATGTCAAGCTAAGGCTGTCAGATCATGTCAAGATAAGGTTGTCGTCAGATCGTGTCAAGGTAAGGTTGTCGTCAGATCATGTCAAGATAAGGTTGTCGTCAGATCATGTCAAGATAAGGTTGTCGTCAGATCATGTCAAGATAAGGCTGTCAGATCATGTCAAGATAAGGTTGTTCTCAGGTCATGTCAAGCTAAGGCTGTCAGATCATGTCAAGGTAAGGTTGTTGTCAGGTCGTGTCAAGGTAAGGTTGTCGTCAGATCATGTCAAGATAAGGCTGTCAGATCATGTCAAGATAAGGTTGTTCTCAGGTCATGTCAAGGTAAGGTTGTTGTCAGGTCGTGTCAAGGTAAGGTTGTCGTCAGATCGTGTCAAGGTAAGGTTGTCGTCAGATCGTGTCAAGGTAAGGTTGTCGTCAGATCGTGTCAAGGTAAGGTTGTTGTCAGATCGTGTCAAGGTAAGGTTGTTGTCAGGTCATGTCAAGGTAAGGTTGTTGTCAGATCGTGTCAAGGTAAGGTTGTCGTCAGGTCGTGTCAAGGTAAGGTTGTTGTCAAGATAAGGTTGTCAGATCATGTCAAGATAAGGTTGTCAGATCATGTCAAGGTAAGGTTGTTGTCAAGATAAGGTTGTCAGATCATGTCAAGATAAGGTTGTCAGATCATGTCAAGATAAGGCTGTCAGATCATGTCAAGGTAAGGTTGTTGTCAAGATAAGGTTGTTCTCAGGTCATGTCAAGGTAAGGTTGTTGTCAAGATAAGGTTGTTCTCAGGTCATGTCAGGGTAAGGTTGTTGTCAAGGTAAGGTTGCCATTAGATCATGTCAAGGTAAGGTTGTTGTCAATTCATATCAAGGTAAGGTTGTTGTCAGATCATGTCGAGATAAGGCTGTCAGATCGTGTCAAGATAAGGTTGTCAGATCATGTCAAGATAAGGTTGTCAGATCATGTCAAGATAAGGCTGTCAGATCATGTCAAGGTAAGGTTGTTGTCAATTCATGTCAAGGTAAGGTTGTTGTCAGATCATGTCAAGATAAGGTTGTCGTCAGATCGTGTCAAGGTAAGGTTGTCGTTAGATCATGTCAAGGTAAGGTTGTCGTCAGATCATGTCAAGATAAGGTTGTCAGATCATGTCAAGATAAGGTTGTCAGATCATGTCAAGGTAAGGTTGTCGTCAGATCATGTCAAGATAAGGTTGTCAGATCATGTCAAGATAAGGTTGTTCTCAGGTCATGTCAAGGTAAGGTTGTCGTCAGATCATGTCAAGATAAGGTTGTCGTCAGATCGTGTCAAGGTAAGGTTGTTGTCAGGTCGTGTCAAGGTAAGGTTGTTGTCAGGTCGTGTCAAGGTAAGGTTGTTGTCAAGATAAGGTTGTCGTCAGATCGTGTCAAGGTAAGGTTGTTGTCAGGTCGTGTCAAGGTAAGGTTGTTGTCAAGATAAGGTTGTTCTCAGGTCATGTCAAGGTAAGGTTGTTGTCGGATCGTGTCAAGGTAAGGTTGTCGTCAGATCGTGTCAAGGTAAGGTTGTTGTCAGGTCATGTCAAGCTAAGGCTGTCAGATCATGTCACGGTAAGGTTGTCGTCAGATCATGTCAAGATAAGGTTGTCAGATCATGTCAAGATAAGGCTGTCAGATCATGTCAAGATAAGGTTGTCAGATCATGTCAAGGTAATTGGACGCTAGAGCGTCCAATGGAGTTTACAGACCAATTCTCCGATAATAGGAAATGTTTTGTGTATTCAAACCTTTATCTATTACGTGGACATCGGTATATTCACGTTATCCCGTGATTTATAGTGCACTGACGTTCAAGATATCGATGCAGATGTTATAAAGGAAAATTTAAATGGACAAAATATTTAATCAGCGAAAGTGGTCTAAGATCTTACATCAGGGTTTAGGTAAGATCAATTTTTTTGTATTTATTATTATCATTATTATTATTACTATTATTATTATTATCATTATCATCATCATCATTACTAGTATTATCATTGTTATTATTATTTTTTTATTATTATTATTATTATTATTATTATTATTATTATCAGTATTACCATTACTATCATTACTATTATTATTATCAGTATTATTATTATTACTGTTATTATTATTATCATCACTATTATCATTCTAATTAATGTTATTATTATTATAATTATTGATCATCTTCATCACTAATACTACTATCATTATTGACATTATTATGTTTATCATCATCATATTTATAATTATTTACATCACTATGTCTATTGTCATCATCATTAATATCATTACTATTACCATCATCATCACTATTATATTAATCTCATTTTTCAAGGGGCTATTGTGGATTCTTAAGTAAATTATCTTCGGAGATTTTAACCCCGATATTGTGACAGGATTTTGGATTCTTCAGCTTATGAATGAAAATTAGGTTTTCTATTCTATTTTCTTTCATAAAGACAAACATCTATTATTATTATTAGTATTGTCATTATCATTATCATTATTCTTATTCTCATTATCATTATTATCATTATTGCATAAAACATTGAATACCTGGCAAACAAAACCAATAAAGAGGAATATAATTTTTAAAAAATATATAATATAATTTCAAAAGTATAGACTGCAGTCGCGAAAACCCATGTGTCCGAAAGCCTGAAATCAGCAACGGCATAATAAATAATTTACCTTAAGTGTTGATGCCCGATGTTCGTTTCTGTCCTTCTTTTCACTTTTAATTACTTTCAGGGGATTTGAGTTAAATTATTACCTTTCTATATTTTAAACCATAGCAGGAAAATTCGATGTTGATTTCGTGAAATAACCGTAAAACAATATATATTTATAATAATTATTAAAATAATAATAATAGCAATAATAATAATAATAACAATACTAAGACTAATACTACTACTACTACTAATAATAATAGTAATAATGATAATAATAATAATAATAATAATAATAATAATAATAATAGTAATAATGATAATGATAATAATGATAATAATAATGATAATAATAATAATATTCATAATAACAAAAACAACAATAATAATAATAATTAAAAACAATATACATCATATTCCTTGTGAAAACTAGGAGAATATATACTCTGGATATATTCTCTGTTTACGGGACAGTTAATTCAAACGAATCCTTTGGCAGTCTTGGGTTCGGACACTGACTGGACAGGAGAGAGACTTACATGACAGGTATTTACTGACTGAATTACATACGGGACTTTTTGACTTACCTTCAGGCCATGTATACAGAAGGCAGATCTACTTACGTGCACATGCATAGGACTGTTTAAGTTTTATGGTCCATAATAACACTATGGATATAAGACAAAGACAAATGATGGGATTAAAGGAAACAAAAGCCCTTTTTTTGTAAAGGCCTGATGTATTTGAAGTATTGCTCCTCCCGCCAGAAATAAGCATGTAAGCAGGATAAATGTAAAAAAAATCATTCAGGGAATGAAATAAAACAAAATGGCGACGACTTGGCTAAAGAGGTGCCGCCATTTTCTTTTTTCTACGAATAACGATCAATTTTCCAGGTTGTGGTATTTGTTTTGCAATACCACCGTCTTGCAAATGCTTCTTCTATTAAACGTCTACAACTTATTACTTAAGACAGTGAACGTGCACAAAACATCTAAAATCTTAAGCTACAAAATAACAGAATATGACACGGTGTAAATACCGATAAACAACAAATATTGCTGTCATAGAATTTTAGCATTTCGATTTCAATTAACAAAATATAACAATTATTTTTTTTAAGGAAAACTAACTTACACCGAATCACATTTCAAAATCTGTAAATAGTTTAAGATCATCTTCAACACTATCATATATAAACGCTTTGGAAGAAATTAAAGTACCAAATGCGTTTTACAGGGACCAGCGTCTGGCTCGTTTATTGCAGCATTTATCATTAATAGAATAAAAACTAAAAGAGAATACAGACAATAAAAAACATTACGAAATTCATGATCGGTCCTTCTGTTTTTTTCTTCTCTTCAAGGAAATGAATCTCCAGACAAATGGTACATACCAAGAAATTATAAAGTGGATTATAAACCTTTTCATTTTTAACACCAATCAATATTTAAAAAAAATCCTAAGTAAATGTCTTTTTTTTTTACAATACAACCGATAAGATATGGCGTCATCGAACTGACCTCAAATGTTCACGAAAAAAGTGTTCTGCATTCCCTTTTGAATCATATCCACAATGCAACCTTTTACATCTATGCAACATTACGCTGACACACAATTTCCTCCTCTATATAATGTCCTTAACACTGAAACTCACATCTACCTTTGATGAGAAGGCAACCGATTCTGTCTTCAAAGAATAATTTGTGCAAAATTAAACGCCGAGTGAAATTCTGATTTTATGTGACATCATTTTATAACTTGCATACTAAGCTGGTGATAATGGCAATGACGATGACGATAACGATAACGATGATGATGATGATGATGATGATGACGATGATGATAACGATAACGATGACATCGACGACGACGCCGACGACGATGATGATGACGACGATGGTGATGATAATGATTGATGATGATGATGATGAGGAGGAGGAGGATCATGAATGATCATGCAGATAATTACAATAATAGTGATCGTAACAATAATAATAACAATGATAATAATAATAACGACTACGATAACACTAACAATAACAACAGCAAGAATAACAATACCAATGACGATCCTAACAACAAACAAAAATAAATATTGAACATAAAAACCAGCTTCTCCCTACATTCAAAACAGAACACACACATAAACAACGGAAACCCCCACACACGCGGGAGCGCAGAGAGCAAAACCACCGAAGGACCTCCTGCTTGGAACTCCGAGCAGGTAGGGCAGAAGGCAAAAGGCAAAAGGTAGCCACGCAAGACGCTGGTCCTCGAACTCGGCCTTAGCACACTAAAGGACCTACAAGAATCGCTCCAGAGGTGAGTATAATGCAAGGGCTGGACTTACTTCTTCACTTCTTCCAACAAAGCTCGTTCTTCGTCGGTCATAGCGCTCGTGTCAGAGGGAGGCTTGTCCCCAGGGGTCATGGAAAGAGAGAGATAGTAAGGATAGCTGCGGCTTACCTCACACGGCTTACCGCATACAACTCCCAACCCACTCATGGCTTTTATCACAACCACAAAATATGCCATACTTTTTTTGGGGGGATGGGTTACTGCTTGGCCACACTAGCACCATCTGTGGGGACTACATGAAGCTTGTGCTTTACTTATCACACGTATTTCCTACTGGTCAGACATAGCATGATGTTCAGTATAGGAAAAGAAAGAAAACCTTGTGTTTCTAAATACATATGCACAAAAAAAAATCCACACGAATATGCATTTCAGAGCTGTCTGCAATAGTTTTTGTTGCAGTAAACACTCTAGTACATCATTTGATAGTATGTATATTAACAATGATAGTGTGTGGCCGATCTGCATCTTACATTTAGAGGATATAGCCTTGGCACTCTTCACTATGGGTGCCACAATCTACAAGTGCCTCACTAGCTGGACCAGCTATAGTGTTGATCACTCATGGCCAAATCCTGCAAAACTGATGTTTGTGTTAACTGTTTGAGCTGCGAGGGATAAACCGCACATCAATAGCAGACAACTTAAGCTAAGCATTTGTGACATTATTTTGTTTTCGGAATTTGACACCAGGTAATGAAAAAATCCAGATCCAAAATGAATTAGATGCATCAGATCGCAGAGATTGTGGCTGGAAAGTTTTTTTTTGTGAATGCTGAAAACAGTTGCCTCTTGGCCTTACAGTGTGGTGTCAACAGGTGCAGCTGGTCCTAACAAAGTGCTGGCCGAGTGAATGTGGCTCGGGCCCAGAATGACAGTGTCCAGTGTCACGGTGGGAACGAAGACCACCAAGTCATGCTGCACAAATCACAACTCAATTCTGCTTCAAGCTCAACTAGGTCAGAGAAAGTTAACCAAAAGTATACAAACATTTTTTTTTCATGATAACATTAATGATGTGAGCTAGTGTTAATTTATCATAATGCAATCAAAATTAAGCACCACTTTCTTACATGCAAGGTTTGACCACGTGGGCTCTCGTAGTTGACCTAGTTGTCTCGCAGAATTGCCACAAAACAACCAACCTGCTGATTCCGGCTTTGTAACTGTGATCTCTGTACTGTGTTGGGGTAAGGTTGGTGTGGCCTGTGACCTCCTTGAAGTGACCTTTAACCTGTGATCTGAGTGTTGGACCCCGACCTTTCACGCCCGTGTAGGCCTAGCGACCTAAATATGGTTGGTGTCTGGTTTTTCATCTATCGAAGGCCTAGTGTGGCCGGCCTTGCCTTTTACTTCTGTGACTGGTCGAGCGAACAGTACTTACTTGATAACTTCCTCCATGACTGCTTGCTCCTCGGGACTCATGGCATCGCCAGGCATACACGATTCGGGGATGATGCCATAACGTTGTTGCAGCAGCTCCAGTGCTTGCAGTTGCAGCTCGAGGTTCTTCTGGATCATCATTCTCTTGAAAATCTCGTAGTCGTCAGCAGCCCATACTTGCTCGAACAGCGTCTGTGGAGAAGTGCTCATTAAAATATGTGGCTATTTGAAATGCAGGATCAGAGAAACATAATTAATATCGCCACACTGTGATGCGCGCAGACAAAACTTTCTCTCTCACATCTCTAATATACGCTCAGACCTTAAGTTCTAAAAAAAAGGGAAATAAACAGCATGGAATTTGCAAAGGCCTTCGTTCGACTGACACAGAAACGTAAACTAACCTGATGGAACGTGGTCTTGATAGAAGCCTTCCCGCAAGCCGACTCGAACTGGTCGGGGGTGATGCCAATGTCCTCCATGTAAGACCCCAGCATGAAGTCCACCAGGTTCTTGTATTCCTCGTGGATCTTGGTGTGTTCGGAGTCATCCTCGCAGCCGGGCTCGAAGACTGATGGGGAAATATTGAAAAAAAAATGTTTGTGAGCAGTTGGAGTTAGATATTATTTAATTTTGGGATAGCTTCGATTTGGAACGGGAAATAGGAGAAAATAAATAGGTGGGAGGTGTAAGCGACAAGAAGAGTGGTGGTGGAAGGAGATTAAAAAAACAAAACAAACGCGGCGATAGAACTTTTATTCTCAAAAAATAAAGACGAAGAAAATACACTCCTAACCTAACAAGAGGAAAGGGGGCTAAATTATATATCATGAAAGCTACAAAAGGAAATATATGTATAAAAAGGAAATGGAATTCTGCTATTCTGGTTCTGGGTAATATACAAACACACTTTCTCTCCATAACGCAAACACCTTAAGCCTCTCTCGTCCAATTTACATCCATTCCTACCTCAGTACCCTGTCGAGAACTAATGATTGACGATTGACTGTATGCCGTATTGCCCGAGCATGACCAAGTCAGCCAGAATCCACTATCGATTCCTGATTGACAATAAATATCATGCGAATGGTCATTACCCGGACCTTAGCCGCCAAGAACTGGATCCCTTTACCCCCTTCTCCCTTCCCCCCTCTCTCTCCCTTCCAACCCCCCACCCCCAACACACTTACCAGTGACCCCCTCTCCCACTGACATGACTACATGTGACCCTCCTATTGATTAACCTTATCAATATTTACCTCAGTCAGGTATTTGGTGAAGATTGTGGCAGCTGTTTGTTGATGTTGTTTGAGGCAGTGAAGGTATACGGTGCATTAGAGGTTTATTGTTATGTGCACCAATTTTTTCGTGGGATATATCTAGTTTTGTGTCCTTACTGTGTGTGGTATTGATTTTGTTTGTCTGTTTGTTTTATGGTTTAGGTTCAATGTTAGGTATCACAAAAACATGCCGAGAAGAGGGAATATAATGAGTATAAATGTATTAAATGTTCTTCACTTTCTGAAATAAATAGACTTCGAGGAAGTTGTGAAACAAAATCAAACTAAACTCACCGATTTAGCGCCAAATATTCAACTTCAAAACAAATTACAACTCATTTTCGCCTCAAAATTATATCAACATTATATCCTCAAAAATTACGTTAAAAAGGATCGGTGGGGAAAATTACATCATGTATACACTTCAAAACTAAACACATTTCCAGTCTTCAATAAAGCTCCCTAGGATGAAGATTGCAACCTATTTCCGCTTCAAAAAAAGAGAATATATATTTTTTTACTTCCCGAAGCACAAACATGCTCGATTTCCCGCCGACTTGCCTGCATAGCGTGTACAAGGACCGAGACAAGGCCAGCATTGCAGCTAGGTAAGTGATCAATAACTGGAATTCGCACAGGTATGTTTGGGGGGGAAGGGAAGGAGGGAGATTTTGCGTATTACGTCATCGGGAGAGCAAACAGATGATGATAGCATGTGAAAAAGTATACTATTCTTGAGAGTTTGTGATTCGTGGATTTCGGTGAGCTAGTGTTATAGGATTGACATCCGTTTTGATCGAGGTTAACAAGAAAATCGTTCAAAACTGGCAATGTTTGGTCGAAACGCTATGCTGAAGTTTCACATGTTTCTGTTTTCCTTGCTAAGCCATGGTTTCGCCTATTCATGCTAGTTTTCCTCAACTATTTCAGATTATATTACTGCTATTATTTTGAGGAAGTTTTTTCAATTCTAGCTATTTCAGGTTGCATAAGTATCACTATTTTGAGGAAGTTTTTCATTCCGTGTTGTCCGAAAGAAGACAGTATAGTAAAGCCTAGAAATCTGTAAACCACTTAAAGCAAAATAAAATGATAAAACTTATTATGGGTTTTAAAACTTATTTGAGAGTTCCACGAAACGCATATATATATATCTTTATTATTTTTTAGTCGGTCTTAGATGTCACCACTATTAATATTTTTAATGCCATCTTGACTAATCCTTTGCAGTTAATTTAAGGGTCGATTATATTTTGAAGGTTTGACACATTCTTTTTCATATAACGTGCAATTTTATACTTTCATGACTGTGAGAGCTCTTTCTTGAAGGCTTAATATGAAGCTTTAGACACAGCATTGCTTCGTCTGTCTGTCTGTGTGTCTGTCTACCGGTCTCTCCTCTCCCCTCTCTCTCTCTTTCAATCTTTCCGAGAGAGTTAGTGAATGAGTGTGTGTGTGTGTGTGTGTGTGTGTGTGTGTGTGTGTGTGTGTGTGTGTGTGTGTGTGTGTGTGCGCGTGTGTCTCTGTGTGTGTATGTGTGTAACGTATGCACTGTATGCACAGTGTGATGAAAATAGTAACATCAGTGATAACATACACCATACTAATGTCAGTAATAACCACCAATACCAAGAACAATAATTGTTAAAACAACAAAAATAACAATATTACTGATGATGGCGGTGATAACAGTTATCAAACCGGAAATAGTAATAAAAAGTTAATCATCATAACGAGGCAGAACAAGACAATTTAATTCTTACTTCCATTATTAAGTGAATCATTATTAGAATTGCCTTTGTCACTATTTCATTATTGTTAGTTAATTGACGAATATAACATTCTCATCGTCATCACTATAATCACGAATATTTAATATGACTATCATTACCAGATTATGATTCTATAATTACTATTGTCTATATTATTATACTGACATAATTATTACTTTTTATTATCCCTACCATTACTACGAACATTGATACCGACTCTACAACAATTCTAATATCAAATATGAGGAATGATGATGGTAATTTGTAATAATGATAAACAGAAACACGATATAACTGTATATTTCAACCTGTTATCATCGTAATAATCTTGATTGTTTCGTGCTGACACGACACAATTCCTGAAACATTGTACCTGAATAGTGTACCACTGATCCATAAACTGACTGGCCGCCTGTCTGTCTGTCTGTCTGTCTCACTTTTGAATCAGCGTGGGTTACTGAGTCAGATATATAATGGTCTATGTAGGTGATGTTAGTGAATGATGATAATAACCATAGTTATTACGATACTTTGCAATTTAAGAAAAAAAATATTCAGAAAGTTTTAATTGCAATAAGGGATGAGATGACGAGATTGATAATATCATTTGAACGGGAAGCATCATTACTGTTCGTACGATGTTTTTAAGTATATCGGTTTTATCAATTAAGCGATATTTGTATTTAACCTTAACGCCTCTGTGTTGCTCTACGGTCTTGGTGAAAAGATGTTTGTTTAGAAGAAAGCGATTCTGTGCTGCAGATGCTTGCGGCGCAGACACTGCAGTGCATTGAAAAATCCCCATCGTGTGAATCACCCACGTTGGGCAAAGGGCGGTGGGTTGTCAAAGCGAGAGAGAATAAGTAAATAATTTATTCTTCTTGGACGCACGGGTCGATCCTGTCCGTTACTAAGATACTGAGTCTCCCTGTCAACGCATGTGTCAAAGTGCTTCACTCATTCACTCAATAAAATGCTTCATTTACTCTCGACAAATACGTTTCACTCGATATTCATCCCTCGATCTAGAAACTATGGCTAAGGATCCTTATGGCATATGGATGAAGCTTCGATACAGTCTACAGGATTCGAATATTATTGCTTTCGATGATACGGTTCACAAAACAACTTTGATAACTTCACTCTGTATTTTTTTTCCTTCTTATTGTTAATCCTCCCGTTCAATGAAGGTGTTTCTTAACTTTCTGAAAATTCCAGTTGAATTAATCGTATGCAAACAATAGTGCAATGACCCAAGAGAATGAGGAAGAACAGTACGGAGAAAACCTCAACCTGTGCAAACAGTGATCTGCGCCGTGGATCTAGGAGGATGCGCCGAGTTTTTGCAAAGTCTTTCAACTTCATTTACATAGACCTTG